AGGAATCGATGGAATTAGGTGGCAAATTGTGGTACCATATCATTGCTCCATTTGACAAGGTTTCTCCAAATTTTTTCAGTAGAACAGATTCAATCTCATCGTCTTCTAAGTCATTTCCCTTTATTGCGCATGTATAAGAAGTGACATATTCATTAGGGTCGGTGGTCCCATTGTACTTAGGAATTTCTGGCATTCGAAACTTTTTCGGAATGGGTTTCGATGCCGCACTTAGAGGGAAAGGCTTCTGTACAAATTTCTTTGAATCCATACCCTTTAGAATCGGCGATGCCCCTGGTATTTGATCAACCCGGGAGTTGTATGTCTTTACTTTCTTGTCATTTGCCTCGATTTTTTTCTCTCCCGATTCAATCCATTTAGTGAGCTCCTCAAACATTTTCATAATGGCGGGGTCAGTCCCCGATTCGTTAGCATTCAACCTTTCCGGCACAAGCTCGGTCCTTTGAACGACTTCTGGTTTGATCCTACTCGATGTTCGGTGTTGATTTTGTAGTCATGCTATAGCGGCCTGTTGAGCCTGTAACATTTCGAATATCAATTGGAGGCTAACTCCACTATCTTCTCCGCCCTGCGTACCTCGACCACCTGATCGAACTTCCCTGCGTATACTACCTTCGGGCTCAATGCTCAAATTTGCATTTAGGGTGACATGTGAACTGACATCGACGGGATTTGCAATTGGTGCTCCCTCGAGGTCGTCCTGAGGCACCTCGATTCCTGGGGCAGCTATGTTGTCATTTCCCCCGTGAAATCCAAGGCTGTTGTCACCATATGTAGGTGCTGCTTGTGAGTTTGACATGTTTGTCCTGAAAATAAAGATTCTTACGAGAACCAGTGTAAAACAGTGTGTGTTATCGAAATTAGTATTAAGCAATCACTATTATCCTTAGCCCCACTGTGGGCGCCAAACTGTTTACCCTTAAAATTGGATAACAATTAAACTTATAATGAGGTTCTAAGGATACGCGATTTCACTTAATACCGATAGACAAATATGAAGATTAATAACAGAAATGAACTATAAAATAAAGTGAACTAGTATTGAAACGGAATTCAACCCTCGAGCTAGGGTGCCCTCGAACTGATTGATACCAAGATAGTTAAAAATACAGCAAGCTGATGAACAAGAGAGTATACGCTAAAGAGAGAGCGTTAAATTGGCTTTTTTACGTGAGAACAATGTGTCGTACAAATGGTTAATACTCCCTTTTTTATGGTAGAGGAGTTCTACTTATAGTATAACTCTAATTACATAAGAAAATCCCATGATTAGCTAATTAACCGTTTCTGATTTGATCCGTTCCGAGATTTACGCCATGATCCTCGACCAGTCACCGAGGTTTACGCCGTGATCCTCGACCAGTCACGGATATCCCGCCTTTCTGTTATTGTGCTATCTTCGATCTTGCTCGATGTCTGTCTTGTTTGGCTTCGATCGCTACTAGCCTCGATCTCGACAGGTACCTCGATCCTGAACTTGATACCTAATTATCGTGATTTAGTCTGTTCCGTTACGAGGCCGTCCTTTGATGCAATCTCCCGGTCTCGGTCAAATAATAAAATCGGGTGGATCCGATTTTAATCGTATACAATAGGTTAATTATTTACCGAGTTTCGAATCATATATTGCTGGTCCTCGAATTTCTCAGCCGACGAACGAAAAAATAATTTGCTTTTGACTGATAAAGAAGATGAAGGGGTGAATTTCTGATGTGGAACTTTCATTCATGGTATATTTATGTCGGCAGAATTATAGGAAGGAACAAAGAAACTTAAAATTTCTAATTTGAGAAAGTGTGCAGGTTTGACATAATAAATTTTGAATATATCAATCGTCTTTGAAGTTTGAAGATTAAATTTTATCTGCAATTTATATATGAGGCAATATATTTATTTTTGCTCAATTTATATGCTATAATTTTTTTGACGAAAGAGGTTCAATTATGAGTTAGGTATATATTACAAGTGCAACCCTATCACATATAAAAACTTATATTTAATGGATAAAGATAGAAGAATCGTCCCATTAGCTACCAAGTCTTCAACCGTGGGCCACATATAAAATTTCTCAATTATCAAAAAGACAAAAATTAAAGAAGATAAAGTTACTCCAATCTATTCTTCTATAGAGTGTGCAGGTGAAATGGATCTTTAAAAATCGACTAAATCGATCGAATCATACCGTACTGAATTGGTTATTAGATTTTTTTTAATAAAATCGTAGGTTTTTATATAAATTTATAACAGTACCTAATAATCGGGTATGTTTTTAATTTATAAAAATAAAATGTAAAAATACAGAACCATACGATAAATTTATTTATGAAAAATATATTTCATATATTAAGTTTAAAAATAAGAAAGCATTTTTTCTCCTAAAGTCTTGGGATTATGAAAACGACTACAAGCCAACATGTGATTGACACCTAGGGTTTGTTTGGTACGATCCTAGAAAATATTTTCATGAAAAATGAGTGATTTTATCACTTATTTTCCCTTGTTTGGTTGGTGAGTGAAAACCTTTTCTCGAAAAATATTTTCTAGTGTTTGGTTACAGAGTAGAATTTTTTTTTTTAGAAAATAATTTTTTATGCCACTTTCCTCACCCCTCTCCCCTCCCCCAAGTCCTTATGTTTCTTGTACTCTTCCCTCCCCCTCCAAATACCCATCATTTTCATGACTCTATTTTATTCAAGAATTTAATTATTTTTCTAAAAATTCACATAAACCCCAAAGGAACTAATGTGTTGCTTTACCTTTTTACGCAAAAACAACGTTGAAATTTGTGCTCCATAACTTAAAAAAATACTATTTTTTTGGTTGAAAAAGAAAGTACTATTTTTACAATATGAAAATAAAGTACTCATTTTGTTGAAATGAAAAAAAAATACTTTTTACTACATCATTTTGTTTAAATGAAAGAAAATATTTTTTCTACATCATGACAAGAAAGTATTTTTTTTGTTAAAATAAAAAAATAATTTTTTTTATATCGTGAAAAGAAAATACTCATTTGTTGAAATGAAAAAAAAAATACTCTATTTGTAACATGAAAANTGGGGGTTGGTGGGGATGGAGATGAGAGGAAGGTTGGAAAAGAGTTTTAGAAAATATTTTCCCTTCTCTTGATAGGGAAAATTTCCTCCAATTGAAGGAAAATAAGTTGATGGGGAAAATATTTTCCAAAACATTTGGCCTCATTTGTTTTTTTTTTAAAGATTAAGACGTCTGAATCTGAATACACATCTGAATATCAAGATGTGTATTAAGATTAAAACATCTAAATCTGAATACACATCTGAATATCAAGATGTGTATTAAGATTAAAACATCTAAATCTGAATACACATCTGAATATTAAGATGTGTATAGAGATCTGAATACTAAATGATTAACACTGTTTGATTTTTAATATCTGAATATATAAAATTTATTTTTATTTGAAAATTAATAAACATAAAATTTAAATGAAATACTAATTAATCTAATATTATATCAATAAAATATATAATATTTTTAAAATATAGTAGTTGCTGGTGGTGATGGCTAACGGTGGTGCTTGTGAATGTCGACTAGAGGCGGTGGTTGGTAGTAGGTTTGGTTGATGGTGGTGGTTCAGGGTAGTAGCTAGTGGTGATTAGTAGCGGTGATGATTATGATCGAGGATGGTGGTGGTGAGTGGTGATAGTTAATAATGGCGGATGATGGTGGTAGTTGTGATTGAGGAATGTGGTGGTGGGTGGTGGTAGTTTATAATAATGGGTAGTGCCGGTTATAATTGTTGATGGTGATGGGGTGGTTAGTTGTGGTAGTTGAGGTGGATAAGTGCTTGCGATTGAGAATGATGGTGGTGGGAGTGGTGCAGATGGCATGTGGTGATAGTCGATTATGGTGGGGCTATGATTGAGAATGATGGTGGTGATGGTGTCATGGTGGTAGTTGATAATGGTAGACGGTAATGACAATTAATAATGAATATGGACGATAGTATCTTAATGAAATTAAGTCTCTGTTGTTGATCTTAATCATACAGACCTATTCAGACCCATTAAGTGATTGTGAAGTAAAAAAACAAACACACTTAATGATTAAGATCTGATAATTCAGATTCAGGCTTTAAAAATAAAACGCACTTAATGTATAAGATCTGAATGATTAAGATTCAGACCTCCATTAAGTGCAAACAAATGAGAATAAGCCACCCAAACATGTAAAAATTGGAAAATATTTCTCGGAAAATATTTTTCTTCATACCAAACACCCCCCCAAAGTCCAACTCCCAAACCCATTCTGGTACTCCCGTTGAAATCAAGTTAGTTTCAGCATTTTAAGTAGCAAGTCACAAGGTATTCCAACGATCTTGAGTAGCAAGCAATAAGGTATTGCATATCTTTTTTCTTGTATGTTTAGATTTCATTTGTTGAATACTCAATCTTATAATTGATTTTATTCTTGAGTCCCAACTTAACTAATATTTTTTCACTCGGGTGATTTATACTCCTTTCGCCTTTGCTTAATTTATTTTACGCTGTTATAGAATAGTGAGATGGCTATATTCTCGCTATCTTTCATGTTCTCTTAATTCATTACCTCTTAAATAGAAAAATGCGTAGATAGTTTTGCCAAAGTCCTATGCAAATACGCATGTTATTGCATTTTAATAACTTCTATTGGAGATTCTAATATGACATTTTAAAAATAATACCAAAAACTAACCGAATCGTATCGATACCGAAGAGAAACCGAGATGATTGGTACGGTTTCGAAAAGTCTAATTTTGGTCATACAAAATAGAGTAACTGAAAAATTGGTATGGTATAAATTTTATAAAATAACCGGTTGAACCGAACTATTAGCACCCCTATATGTGAGCGCATTGCCCAAGAAAAAGTAGACAAAAAAAGTGATATGGGGGAAAGCATCAACTTTTGTATCTTTAGAGGGACTTTGTCATTTCATAGAAAAAGGGGAGGAATATGTCTAAAAAAACAAAGATTCGGACGCGTTTGGCGCATTCCTAATAAACGTAGCAAGTTATTTCTTCACAAGAGATATCCCAAAAACGCCGCCTGCATTCAACGGGGCGAAGAACAGCGGAGAAAAAGGTTAGGCAAAATTAAGCCCTTGAATTTAAATTAATCTGATTTTTTTGTTATATTATACACAATTAATCCTTGAGTTTTTGTTTCTATGTGATTCACCACTTTGATATTAGAATTCAAGCCTTGTTGATTACTCTGTTTTTTTCGATAAATCAAACTGAATTAAATAGATGAAGCAATCTATTTGCTGAAATATGGACAATGAACACAAACTATTCTTCACTTTTAGCATTTTTAAATTCAAATTATTTTCTTTTAGTCGTCTAAATTGTAGTGTTCGGGAGTTCAATTTTTAAGGTTTTTAACTTTGAATACATTATATTTTTAAAGTTATGGTTTCATATCAACTATCCGTTGCAATTTTAGTAAATTTTCACATATAAAATTTATGCTCTACGCTGAAAGTACTAAGTTCAGATGAACCCGGTACCAAAGGGTTGGAGCCACCCCGGTGGGTCAATGTGAATTGTTCGTTATCCAAGCACTGATGGCTTCTCCATATTTGCCTTTCCCCACAAAAGTTATTAATTGAAGACAGACTCTAATTTTAACGAACTTCTAGTTTTATTATTGATTGAATATTTACGTGCAATTATTAAACAGACTGAATAACTACGTGCAATTGTTAACGTGTAACGCACGTTCATAGAGACTAGTATTATTATAAAAGCATGAATACAATGTCGGTTTACAAAAATAACCTTATAATATTAAGTATTAAGTATAATAACTTATAATAAAAGAACATAACCGGAATTCTAGATATTAGCCTTATAATCCTATTAGTTTTAGGACAGAATACTACACGTTAGGAATCCTACATGATTACCTTTAGAAATCCTATTAATATAATTATTTTCGGGCATAGACATATAATACTACTTGTTAGCATGTATACCTAATACCTTTGGAAACACGTTATGTTTCTTTTTAATATAATTACTTTCGAGGTAGAGACATATTTTTAGTCATGTAATCTAATGACTTTTAGGATATAATTCTTAAAAATTCCTATTACTAATTTAATTTGAAAACGTATTATAATGTTATATTACTAATTTAATTTGAGAATGTATTATATTGTCCAAATCGATTTAGAAAAAGGAGATACTATATTATTATAAAAGCACAAATACAATATTAATAGACCAAAATAGCCCTAAAATATTAAATGGAAGAACTCATAAGGAAAGGACATAACTGCAATAACCTATTTTTTGGACTATAATATTTTCCATGCTAATTTTAATATTTAAAATTTTAAAATTAATAAAATTTTGTCTATTAAATTCTTGTTAAAAATATGTAGGAAAGTTTAATAAAATTAATTTCATAAGAATCCTCCATATTGGCAATACATTACCACTCCATAATGTCCAATACCAAGAAAAAATAAAAACAAATATTAAATGGACGACATAAAGAGTTGAAATTGAGAAAAAAATATCCTCAGGATAATATATTTTTATATTATATTTGAACTGTTTTCTTACTCAAATAATATTTTTTTATTAATTTTTCGTGTAATACTGAAAAATACCCAATTATTAAACAACAACTAAGAAAATATTTAAGAATATAAATGTGTGAGAAAGAGGGAAAAAAAATTTGGTAAGAGTCAACACCACTAATGATTCTACAAACATAAAGATCTAAAAGTGAAATGTCATATCAATTTTTTACTCTTTGAAAATAAAATTTATGGTAGATAAAATTATAATTAAGATTAAATATTCAAAACAAGAGATGAACTAATATTAAGATCTGAATCAACATAGAATAAATTATTTTTTTATGTTAAAACCAAATAATTAGATCTTTTAATTATTTATTTAACAAGAGAATCCAATTCAATTATTTTTAAATTCATCATATGAGTAAAATTCTTATTCAAGTTAAAAAAAATCTTAGGATACAAAAATTTATTCCATAAAAAAGCGTTAGAGATTAAAAAAATCAGAACACAAAGTAAAGGTTAGTATAATATTAAGAATCAAAATGCTATACATGTGTCTGAGAAAGCACAATCAAAGCTAAATCCTAAACAAGAAGAAGCTTTCAAGACTATATTATAAAGAGTAGATTCTGGTAGCACCCAAGGGTGTGGTCTAGTGGTCAATGAAGTGGGTGAGATCCTTGAGGTCTCAGGTTCAAATCCCAGCGGAGGCAAATACTAGGTGTTTTCTTCCATCTATCCAAACCTTGGTGGATAGAGTTACCTGGTAACTGTTGCTAGTGGGAGGTGGCAGGTACCCGGTGGAATTAGTTGAGGTGCGCGCAAGCTAGCCCGGACACTATGGTTATCAAAAAAAAAAAGTGTAGACTCTGGTATAGCGGAATTATTCTTTGTAGATGCCTCCGGCGAAATCAAAATGATATTTTTATGTCATGTATTACTTGTAAATATCATATCAAGAGGCATGATATTGTTAGCAATAATAGCAAGTGGTGTACCAATAACGATTTTATTGTGATTCCACCCACGTTAGATTTGATATTACTCTTCAAACAACTTAAATAACCATCACAATATATCAAAGCAGAGCAATGATGCTAAATTTATAAGAAAAGCAAAATTGATAATATAGGATGAAACACTGATGGCTAAGTATCAAACGATTGAAATAATTGCTCGGAGTTCTAGAGATATATTGGATATTTATGAACCGTTTGATGAAAAATTAATGGTTTGGGAGGTGATTTCTGTCAAGTACTACCAGCAGTTCCAAAATCGACAAAAGCAGAGACAGTAAAAGCTAGCTTGCCAAAGTTATACTTCTGGCTTCAAATGAAAAAGATTCAACTAACAAAAATATAAAGTAAGAACATATCCATTATTCAATGTCTTCTTGTTTTGTGTCGGAAACGAAGAAGAGCATCCAATAAAAGATGATTTGATTCTTCCTGAGTACTTGGTTATCAACCCCAATGATAATAGTAGTGCATTTAATAAGAGAAATATTTCTATTATTAGATTAAAACGCAATTTGTGCAAATCGCATGATAGAATTAAAAATCTATCTTAGCTAGCAGAAATGAATATGTTGATCAACTAAATAAAAGGTTGATTGCAAAATTTTATAGTAAAAATAATTTTTTTTCAGTTTTTGACTTAACAGAAAATGATGCCAATAATTACTACCAAGAAAAATACTTAAATACTTTAATATCATATCAAATGGCCTTCTACCATACAGGTTTATTGTCAAGTTTATTATTTCTTACATATGTTAATGTCACCGTATATATAATAGACTAAATTAAAATTAATCTTCCATTGTATATAGGTTGATTTTGAAGAAAAATATGCATGTCATGCTACTGAAAAACTTAGATAGCCGAATAACTTATGTAATAGCACACAGTTGGTATATAGAAGTTTTGACAATAATGTCATACATGCAAAAATTATGATACTGGTCAATGTGCTTCTAAGTATATTCTTATCCCTAAATTCAAATTTGGTCTTCCGAAACTAAGAATATCCTTTTAAATTTGTGTGAAAATAATTTTTAGTATGTTTATGTTTAGCAAATATAATAAATAAAGCACAAGGACAAACATCCTAAATATTAGACTATATTTACCGCAATATATTTTCTTGCACGAACAACTGTATGTTGCACTTTCAAGAGGGATATCAAGATCGACAACAAGAGTTCTAATTAAGGCAGAGCAACCAAATCATTAGGAGGAAACGTGCACACACAAAAATATCGTCCACAAAGAAGTGCTCGGTAAGATACCATCACATTAAATACTTTTAAACTATACTCTCTCCGATCAACTTTAAGATTAATATGGTCAATTACATTGTTAATTAATGCTAACAGGTAGATTCCTTAATGTGTGAAAGCAACCAAAAAATCACTTAAAGTGGACCAGAGGAAGTAATACATAATTATCTAACTGACATGACAAAATTGATCATTTGTGTAAGTTTTGATGATGTCCTTTTATTTTAAATTCATGTATTATGCTAATGTAATAATATTTTTCGGCATTTAGATGATTGTTGTATTATTATACATAAAATTTCTCTCAGTAATTAAATTTTATTGTTGATTCATATAATTAAATATTTAAATCATCACGTGTCATTATTAACGTGCAACGCACGTTCATAGATACTAGTTATTACAAAATGTTGGAATGAAATATTAGGCCCAAATAGAGATATTAATTATTCCCAGGAGAAAACTATTTCTACTAGTATAATCTATTTATCGGTCTAAATTCATATGTAAAAGGTCTCAAAAATACTTATACACACTTAGATATGAGATTTGTTTTGTAATGATATCAACTCAAAAAGGATAACAAATAAGGAGAGAGTGTTCTGAAATTTTTGGCTTGTGGAATCCTTATATGTTCTGAAATTGTTTGCTACTGTTGATCCTGCTTTGATACTGTGTTTTGATAGATTCTACCTGTGTTGTCAAAGGCTCATTTGAGGTACACTTAGGCCCTGAAGCTCGGGTAAATGCTTTGCCTCACTTAGTCTGTGCTTTAGGGTAGGCAAGGCACTAAGGCCTTCGCCTCATTGCCCATAAATTCTATCTTGAATAGATTGGCACTGAACATTGAATATGATTGGTGAAAAGATATACTCACTCCGTTCCAGTTTATGTGAACCTATTTCCTTTTTGCTCCATTCCAAAAAGAATGATCCCTTTCTAAATTTGGAAACAATTTAGCTTAAACTTGCAATTCTACCCTTAATGAGAAGCTTTTATAACCACACAAATACTATGGGCCCCTTTTTGATTTGTTTAGGACCACAAATTTCATAAGTATTCATTTTTTCTTAAACTCTGTGCCTAGTCAAACAGGTTCACATAAATTGGAACAGAGGGAGTACTTAATTATTAAGAAAATCATTTACGTGAAGATGTAACTTTTTACTTATATATATAATTTTATTCTTTTCTTCGTTGTGCCTTTTTTAACTAAAGTCCAGGCTTTAATTGCACTTTGCGCTTAAAGCCCCGATAGACCTAAAGTGTTTTTTGACGCTTTTGGCCTTTGACAACACTGGATTATTCTAGTAGAATATATCAAACGTAAGAGTATAAACTCATACGTAAAAGGTTTCAAAAAGACNGGGGAGGGGAGGGTGGGGGTTCTGCCTATGGAATCCTTATATGTTCTGAAATTGTTGCTACTGTTGATCCTGCTTTGATACTGTGTTTTGAAATTGTTTGCTACTGCTAACCCCGCTTTAATGCTGAGTAATTTGCTCTAGTAATATTAGCTGGGACAGGGTTCCAAAAGTAAGGTGAAAAGGAGAAGAAATTGCTGGTTTTAGAATGCAAAAGAGAATACTCGTAACGTCAGTCGTAGCTTCTATATTAAGGCAACATAGATAATACTGATAGCTACTGCTGATGGCATCCGAATTATATAGATTATATATACCTTTGGATTTAAATCTGATAAGTTTCTCAATTAATGATAATTGAGGAGACGAAGCGAGAGCATGTTGTTTAACAATGAAGTACAACAAAGAAGCTAGAGCTTTGCTTTTCAGAGAGTGGGAGAGGGAAAAAAACTCAAGGTGGCAGAATCCTAATACCTGCAATCTCTTTCTCAACTTATTTCTCAAGGATTGTGGTTACGCGTTTGAAAATGTAGTTTCTTCAACGCTTGTTATGCATCTTCTTCTGGGTTTTTTCTTGGTTTACTTCTGTTAGCCTCTATTTCAATGCTAAAGCATAATCTTTCATTTCTAACTCCTCCAGTATTCTTCAAAAATGGGTGGACTGCCAATAGAGAATACATCTACAGCCATATCTTTGTCGCAAGTACCAAAAGATCAAAAGTCAGCTGTGCCTGATTCAAAGCCAAAGAAGAAGATATGCTGTGCTTGCCCTGATACTAAGAAGCTGAGAGATGAATGCATTGTGGAGCATGGCGAATCCGCTTGTGAGAAATGGATTGAAGCTCATCGCAAATGCCTTCGAGCTGAAGGCTTCAATGTCTGAAGCATAGCAGCCGGCCTCTGAATAGACAAGCGGAGATACAAAATTTTGTCTAATGCTTAGTTTGTTTTGGCACTATACAAGCTCAATTAGCTAAATATTTACAGGTCGAATTTGTTTACCAAATACAGGAATAAAGCAAGGAAGTTCTGCAAATTGATTTGTTGGACCAGGAAATGCGAGATAATTCGTCTTGATTATTTGAATTGTGGAGTACATTTCAAGAATGGAAATTAGCCGTTGCAAGGGACTTATTATCTTTGCATCATTGCTTCATCTAACTATGAATAAATACTAACAAATGTTTGGTATGAAAATGGTATTAGTGGTTTGTTACATACATCGCTGTGGAAGGAAAGTTATGTGATGAAACTATAATGTTTTGTGTCGATTTGATTTATTCAACTCTTTGAGTTCGACAAAACAGGTAAGGATCAACCATTGATAACTAATGATATATTTGACTGAATATGAGTATAGTTGATGATTAAGTTCTCTTTTATATTCCATTAGGTATCCGTCCATTAACTTGTTTGTGTGTTACATAACCACCAAGGATTGCAGTGAGGTGGATAGAATCCTATCGCAAATGAACAAAATCCTAATAGGGAATGCTTCCTCTCAAAGTGGGTCTTGCGCTGAAAATCCTAATAGGAAATGCTTTCTCTTAAAGTTGGTCTTACACGGCACGAATCCGAATTAATCATGCCATAATATCCTAATAGGGAATGCTTCCCCTTTAAATGGATCTTACGCAATGCAAATTCAGATTAAATAAGGCACAATGTGAGTACCAGATGGGAATCCAAAAAATAGAGAATGTGTCTTGCATAAATGAACATATAATACATGAGACGAAGCAGGAGAAACCACAGGAAACATCAAAAGGCTGTTAAATTCAGCTTCCCAATTTTTTAATCGCCATGGAGAAGTGAATAACACAATATGCCACGGCCCGGAAAGAACCATTCCACACCTCAATCACCATCTCGCTTGAATTCCGCTATAAGGTCCAAACTGAACCGCACCATGTGTGCACATAACCGACGAATCACAACCCCTCGTAGCATAGAAGAGTAACACATAGAATTTATCAGAACACGAACAAGTTCAACTCTACCAACCTGCTATAATAATTCCATAAACACCTAGCGAAGATATGGCAAACAAATAAAGCAGCCCTATGTTCGGTAAGAGGTGGAATATTGAATCATGATTGTCATCTTCATTTCTTTCTCCACTTAGCTCTCCGCCTATTGGACAAATCAAAATAAGGGATTTTGTTTGATTGCCCAAAAATCTGGAGTAGAAGCTGGCTCATTATTCTCATTTGTGATAATCCCAATTAGTATCAGGTTAGCGCATTGAGCTAAACCTTAGCATTCAAAACTTTTACCAGAGTACGCTTCGATTGAGCCAACAATTCCTATATTAACCATGTATGGATATAGTTGAACCCAACTATAAACGGAGGGTAGAATTAGACATTTTCACAAAGTACATGGACAAATCTGGACCTTTTCCCATTATGATATATACGAGTATACTCGAAAAGAGTTGGAAAAGCAAACAATCACGTCACATGAGCCAACGTCTCTAGCTGGAAATATAACCATGTTCATATTTGCTTAGACAATTCATTGCCGTATAACCTCTAATTACGTTACAAACAGATATAAAAGCAAAATGGATAAGCTAGAACAAACACATATGAGCTACAAATAAAAGAATAATTGTAAGCTTTCAACTTTCAAGCAATACTAGTAAGTCCCCTCAAGCTATTATAGTCGTATTAGATGGAAAGTTCAACTCAACAGAGATTACAATACTTACTGCAACAACAAAGGAAAAAAGAAAAAGAGAGTACAGTTAAACAAGGGATAAGAAAGCAAATGAAGTTTCGAATGAGCTCTAACAAATACTAACTAAATTGCCAATTACAGAACTGAGTTTCCAAAGGCCCAATAAACACCTCAAAAGAAATTCATGAATAGAAGAACCCCATAAATGGGGTGTATGAGAAAAAGCGGCCCACGATAAAATATGGACGACTCAGAGGAAAACCACCGTTCCTACCTAAGTTACTCCAGAAAAAAAAAATGTACCAAGCACTCAATATCGAGCAATGTCCTGAAGGCAATCATAGAAATGTGAGATTTGGATCTTCTCTTTGCCAGAATAGATGGCTTCTGCTGTCCCACCATGTTCACCCTGAGCAGCCATTTCGACAACCATGTATAGTTTCTTGATGGGCATCTGTCACAAGACAACACAATCAAGAGTTATTGACCAATCCCTATCATACGCCTGAAATTTCAATTTCTCTAGGAGTGCCAATATCAGAAGGCGATGAGACAAATATGAACTATTCGTATAGGGAAGAGACATGTATGGAAAGTGTGCTTGTCTGATAGACAGGGAGCAGAGCTTTGAAACTTACGTCATTTAATGCCTCAGCAGCAGAATCAACATCATCATTTGAGAAGACATTAAGTTGTTGTAACACCTGCAAATAACATCAAAACATCAATACTTGGGCGGTATAGAATAGGGATGACAGTAGGTCAGACATCTCCAGTAACTGCACCAATGAACTAGAGTTCAAGAGTTCTAACTCATCACCAAGGAATTTGGTAGGACATCTCCAATAATTGAACCAATGAACTAGAAATCAAGAGTCAATACATATACCAAGGAAAAACAAAGTATACAGCCTACTGATGATGAGAAATCTTCTCAAATCACCAACTCATTTGCTCCACAGTTTGTTCAAGACAAAAAGTAAAATGGAACCTGAGAGCTCAATAGATAAAGATATATTGACAAATTTAGCGGCATCAATGACAAAAGCCACTGTTTTGTTACACCGTCAGAATTCACAAGCTATTATTCAGTAATCTTCTTGCCACGACGATTCTGGTTCAGTGGGAGGTGAAGTATTCTTTTGTAAGGAGTTTATTGGCCACTAGCACTGGATTACCTTATCTGGGAATACCTAATTGCGATGTCCTAGTTAAGCTTTTCTGCACCTACCTGCTCTACAAAAAAATAGGATTTCCTTTTTTCCTTTCAACATATGGCATCCAATATAAGAATTTATTTGGAGTTTCATTGCTCTTTAGTCTTCACAGTCCAACTATTATGGTTTGACGTAACAGATGGCTATATACCGTTTTCTTTCATATAAAAGTTTCATTCTTCATGTTAGAACTATGGGCTATTCAACTAGAAAATGAATTTTCATTATGAAACATCAACATCTTGGCAGTTTGGATGCCCTCTTACCTTCTTGGCATCTTCTGTCTTTAGTGTTGGAACATGGTATGTGACCGAGAAAGCATCACAAAGGCCAACCGAGTCCAAGAAACCGGCCTCACTAGTAGTTCCAATCACGAGAATTTTTTTACCCTGTAACATGAAACCCGCCGTAAGAATCATCAGCAAAAAGCAGAGTTGCATATGTAGCCACAACGTAATTAAAATCCAGCTCATAAAAAAGCAGTAGGTCATCATCAGTATGTGTCTTGGGCGTTCTAGTCCATCGGTTTCTTAAGTTTATCTGTACTTTTCTTCCAATGGAGGCAAAAATCAAAACAACTAGAGAACTTGATGGGTTCAAGATAGAAATGGGATAAATTCTTTCACACCCCACCCCAAGAAAAACTTTACAAGGCATGTAGGTGCGGCACAAGACTCTTTAACATTGATTTGGTTTTCAGCTTCCGGGCAATTATTATGTAGGAATTAGTCAAGTATCAAGAGCGAGAGGTCATCGCTTCATGGGTGAAGCCATGAAGCCACACGTTTCAGATAAGTTTGTGCTTCAAACAATGACATGCAAAGTGTTCTGAATGAGAAAAGGTTGATTCTTTGAATCTCAACTTTGAAGAGTTGGATTATATTGGCATTATTGTATATTGAATTTAGTTATTTAACTGAAATTTGATAATTATAGTACTAAGTTCGTATATGTATGGAATTTTGAATTTAGCGTGTAACTTTTCGCTTCAAGCCCCGTGGACTTCATTGCTTTTTTGC